TCTTTAAAGAAAACATATTTCAGATTTTCCACTAATCATCAACATTCCATATTAAACTCGGAAGACACGTGTAGGTTCACCGGTGGGTCTGGATAGTAAATATAATGGCTATATTTGTGTTGTAGACATGGTGACCCCTGGTTCCTATCACCACCAGTGTAAAGGAATCTGAGCCTCTTCAATCAACCATTTCACACCCAACCAGAAAAATTTGAGGAGATCCCTTTTAAATGATCTGTTAATGGGAAGCTAGCTGGTCATGCCATCAGTTCCTCAGCTAAAGCATTTAATAACCATTTGTTACCTCCAAACAGATAGAATACAACAGCTTTGAACTCTTCCAGTCATTTATCGGTCACAGAATGACAAGATGTCAGCACAGTAGTGATTTCTTATCTCTCTGGTAAGTGTACAGAATTTTCCAGAAACCTTCACCTGCAGAGTTATGTCTAGTCACTCTGCTATTCCTTACTAACAGGAAACGTCAAACATTTTTCAGTCAGGCTGCCTTAAATAGCTTCAACCCAGTCACTCACTGATGCTGTTGTGAACGGGTTGCTGATGGGAGAGCGTGTTGAAATGTCACGTACAGAATCACGACAGGTAAAACGAGGTTTGTTTCAGAGAAGGCCTAGGGTTACTGCCTGCCAAAACCTTTTTTTCTAAGGCACACCAACATTATCGGTCAATAAATGACCAAGATTTCAGCACAGCAATTTGCTGCTGGGTATTTACTGTTGTGCCAAGCACAGGGTCAAGCATCAGGCGATGAAGGAATCAAATTTACTTAGTGCATTAGCAGTGCTGCTGTGCGCTTTGTCCTCAGCGTCATTACAGGCATAGTTATCATTCTCCTGAAGTGGTGTAATCAAATCTGCAGGGTTTGTCCCCCTACAAATGTTGCACAATCACGAGCTGGCAGCTTCAGTCTTGAGAAAGAGAGTGTAGGTGTAGGTGAACTGTCCCCTGAAACCAATCACAGGTTTCAAAAACGTAGTTTTAGACAGGGACATCTTCAAATTTGCACAATTTATCAATATAAACTTGTCTCATGTGTCCTAGTGATCTGAGATATTGATAAAACTCAATAACATCTGATTTTAACACTGTATGATGATATATGAGCATTAATACAGTTAACGGGCCAAAGCTTCCCAAGTGATATGATGTTTTGCTAAAATAATGTCTTATAAATCTAAAACAGCCTGTTTTCTTTCTCTATAATTATACTAAATAAAATCTTACACAGTAAATGTTTACAGAAAGCAGACTAACTAAGGATGACTCAGCAATTAGACAATATATTATTTTGATTTTGGCAGATCTGTATTGCATTTTTATGAGGTAAATAACACAAGCCAGGCAACATGAGTGCTGTTTTGAATGCTATTGCTGCACCTGTATCAAAATGCTGTAGTATAATCTTATGACTTGTGTCCATTACCTCTTACTTTCAGTGTAACCCTTTACTTGATTCTTGTTATTTAAATAAAGAGCTGATTTGTTATTTAGGACTGTAAAATGCCAGACTGGCTCATTAAAGAGCAAATAATATTATTTATATATATTTTTTTTTACTTTTTATGTTTTATTTATTTTGTACAGGAAATTAGGGGTGGACAATATGACAAAAAATTTCATATCATGATACTTAGACATTTTCACAATATGTATCACAATATTTTGACGCAATGCCATTAAAATCTCACAGATTTATTTTCATTCAACATTTCACATAAAGCACCGCACTACACTCAATGTTTTCTTTGTAATAAAGCATGCAGTAGGTCCTGTGACAATACCTCATAGTTTTAATGGGGATAGAGTCATTAAGAACTCGATAGGTGTGTATAAAAAGGCAAAGATTTTTGGGATCCAGATTGTATTGGGAGAAAAATACAGACTTCAGACTTAAATATAGACTATAGACTTTTATTTTGACTAGGGAAATGCTACTTTTGTCCTTGGTTGAGGCCTTAAATGGGTGATTTAGAGATTTAAAGGCAAAAAGTGTGCAGCAACCCTAAAAACAGCATGACTAGCATATATCCATACTTAAGAGGAAAAAATGTATTGAGATTGTCTCAAAGAAATATGGTAGATCTTAATACTGCAGTAATGAAGGATCACTGACGTCTAAATTCTCTCTCAGGAGAAAAGAGGAGATTAAACATAAGCATTTCATTGTAGGAAGTTCTGGTGATGAATGAGAACAGCATGAGTTCTTGCTCTGCACTGACAGCCTGCTGAGAGAGCTCTGTGATATAGAATAGAGCTGTAGAAGAATATAATGAGATCTTACACGTTTCTTATGGAAATATTATTCAGCTAAGACTGGGGTGAGATGAGTCAGACACCAAAGAGTTCATCCATACCTGTGATAATATCTTGATTAAAGTGAGAAATCTGAGGGTTATTTCTCAGGAGTTGAATTTCAGAAATAGGAGAAAATGGCTTAGGACTTAAATACGTCTAGGAGAAGTACATGAGATTAAGAGCAGAACTACTTTAGAATATTCCTTTCCTCTATATGAGCTACAAAACAAGGACATGTTTTAATAAATACATATAAACTCAAACGTTAATCCTTCCGAGAGTTACTGTAATACTACAGATTTCACTGGTATGTGAAGTGACAAACCATAGTTGGTTAGAAATGATCTAAGGCTACACTCTTAAAAAAGCTGGTTCTTAAAGGGTTCTTCAGTAAAGGGAATGGCTAAGCATTTCATGCTTAAAGCGTTCTTTTCATGGTGAAATGGTTCTTCAGATTGATGGAGAATGTGTTGCATATGGTCCTATAAAGCACTTTTTTGAAAATGGTGCTATATATCAGAGGTGGGCGATATAGCAAAAATTTTAAATCATTACATTTCTTGAAATATTCATGATGCACAATATGTTATTTAATTTTTCAGACATTTGATCAGTTTTAACAGAGAAAAAAGAACCAGTAGTGCTACATAATAAAAAAGATTTTCAATAACTGCAAACACAGTGGTTTTTATTCAATATTTGGCACTAAATCCAGTTAAACGAGACTAATTTTCTCTCTCTATAATGAAACACGCAGTCAGTCAAGGTTCTACAGGTACTCATATACATGACATGTTCAGAAAAGCGTATTGTATTGTGACGATTTGTCACAATAACAATATATATTCATATTGCCCAGCCCCACACTTACAAAAGATGGTTCTTCAAGGGTTCTTCATTAAAGAGAATAGCTTCATCTAGAACTGTGAACATCCAAAGAACCATCTGCATGCTTACAGGGTTTTTGCATGGTGAAATGGTTCTTCAGAATCATGAAGAATGAGTTGTATATGGTTCCATGCGGAACCTTTCCGAAAAAGATTCTATACAGCACCAAAAAGGGTTCTATGTTGCAGTGTCAAGCATGTAACAACAGAACCCTTTGCTGCAATATAGAACCACATGCAACACATTCTCAATCAATCTAAGGAACCATTTAGGCATGCAAATGACTCTATATGGAACTTATGGTTCTAAATAGAACCAATTCCTGTACTAAAGAACACTTGAAGAACCATCGTTTTCATAAGCGAGTGGTGTACAGCCGTGAATGTGAGCGGTTTCGCCCCCCGACGCGGCCAGAGCCACGCTGAACTGTGATTGGTCAGAAGTCTGTCAGCAGACATCAGATGACGCCTCTGATTGGTCGGTGGCGAACGGCTTCACACACAGGCTGAGGCGTTCCGTCTCTACACGCTGGCAGGAATTACAACAGCGTGAAATGTGGCCCAAAAAACCCATCCTAAACCTGCCCGATGTGTGTGAGTGTGCGAGTGTGTGTGTGTGTGTGTGTGTGTGTATGAGCGGTGGATGACACACCCTTCGGGAAGCAAAACCCGCACGTGCACTTAAATAACATCACCAATGTAGATCATTTTAAGGTCGTACTGCTAGAACTGTTTGATATGTGCTTCTCATTCATAATCACTGGTGAACGAACACACAGAGGCTGTAAATGCGTCTCATCTGTCACAACGAGGCTCATCACGTCACTGGGAGGAGAGGGGGAGAAGGGGTGGTGGCGGGGGGCGTCTCTAGCTAGAGCCAAAAGGAAAGTCTGCCAGATTGTAACAGCTGCACCATTTAAGGTGGAACGGAAAAATTCGAACAAGAAGCTGGCGAATAGGAAGCTGACCTCAAGACTCGTGAAGATGCTACCTTAGCTTCTCACGCTTGATTTGCATTCATAACATAAGCTTATGCACTAAGGCCCTCTCATCTTATCATCACCATCATCATCATCATCATCATCACTGAACAGACCAATGCACAACATATTTTTCCCACTGAAAAACAAAGGAGAGGACAGAATGACCCGCGTTGGCACCGAGCACAAGGACATAAGCAGAACACCACCTTGGAATCTGATTAGAGAAGGGAAGCAATGCTGAAAATAGAGAAACGCAGGCGATGCACATAATGCAAACAAGGCTAAAGGAACTGGGCGCTGGGGGCAAAACCGAGCATGCGCATTTCACCAGTATAGTGTAGTAACTTAGTGTTTCAAACGTCTTATTGTGCTTTTAATGTTAATTCAGTACCACTTTTACTCCCTGATGCTGGTGACGTTTTCTGATCAGGAGATCTGGGCTGTTAAATGATCCTAACTGCTGCTGGCATTGTCTGACGAGGTGATTTAGGCTATCATAGTATCCCACCTACAGTTTTAAGGCTGGGGGCATATTCTGACACGGTGACGAAGTATCCTATCTACAGCTTTATCCAGAAAGCTACCTGTAAATATAGGGCATTTTGACAATGTAGCACAATTCGAAAGAACTGCCCCTCTCATGGGGTAACAGGAAGTGCAAGTGATGGAGAAAGACACAACAGACACCGGCTTTAGAGGTTTTAGAGTCTGGGAGAGTGCCTGAAGCCCCCCTAATCTATTAATCTGGGCTATAGCTCGCGCTAAAACGCCAATACGAGCCGCTCGCGGTCGCAGTGCGCTGCGTTAACCTTACCAGTTCTCCTGCATCCATCGGATGGCTTCGTCCTCATTGAACTGTCTCTCGAATTCATACTCGTGCAGAGCCAACACGGACATGATCCACCACTGCCGGAGCTTTGGCCTTCACTTCACGACGAAACAGCAGAAAAACGTGGACGGGTGTTTTTTAGGGTAGTGAATGTATATATACGTATAGGTATGTATGTGTTTGTCTCTGGTTCAGCTGCAGCCCAGATATTGCATCGCTCTCTCGCGTTGTTCTCGAATGTCAGCTCGTCCGCCCTCTCCCTCTATCTTTCTCCCTCTCTGGGGGAAGAAGCTGGGTCCTAACGCCGCCTCTTTCCTCTCCTCCCTCGGAGGAGGAGGAGCCTGGACCGACCTTTCGCACACATTCACCAGCCAAATCATTTTTTAATAAATGCGCGATGCAATTCGGGCGCGCGCACATTTGGTGTTGTGAGCAAAGCTAGAAAAGCTTCATGCATATGCGCGCGAGACTTTGATGCTGCGCTATAGCCTGGCTAGGCCCACATGATGCTTTCTTTATCTCCCCTCGCGCATCAGGATAAAATCTTAACCTCAGGCTGAAAATAAAGCCCAGCAGCACTCAAATCATCGCAGTAACGGCTCATGTCCCAGTGCATTGTCCGTTTTAATGACATGATGTGCCTTTCACGTGCCATGTTAAGTAAGATGTATCACATGGTCACCAATTCTGGTCAAGATCTACCTTCCTGCAGAGTCCAGTTCCAGCAACAACGTGCAGCACCTGCTCCAGCTGATGAACTTCTGAAGAAGGCCTTGAGTGGTTGCCTGGTGTCTAAGAAGGTTTTGGCCCAAAACATTTTTTTTTTAAAGTCTGTTCATGGCGGAGGGATACAAGCAGGGCGTTCTAAGTTTCAAAGGTGTTAAAAATAGTCACCAGTGTAAACTTATTTCTTTCAGATTTGCCACTGTTTTACATTCATCAACATTACATATAAAGACTAGGGAAAAAAGTTCACTGGTTATTTTGGATAGCAAATAAAATGGCAATATTCATCATCAAACCATTCTGGATGACTTTATTTATCTCCATCATTAAATTATGCAAGCATTGACCAGTTGAGTGGGATGCTCTCGAGTAGCCAAGGTCACCATGGCCAATGCCAAGCATGGGCTAGAGCAGTATAAAGCCCCTCCAGCTTTGGGCTGTGGAGCAGTTGAACTGCGTTCTCTGAAGTGATGGAGCGCCATCCAGTACTTTTGGGATGATCCAGAACTGAGCATCCAACATCAGTAACTGACTAATGCTCTTGTGGCTGCCATCAAATCCTCACAGCAAGGTTCCAACATCTAGTGTAAGCCTTCCCAGAAATTAGAGGCTGTAGTTGCATCAAAGGGGGACAAACTCACTGTCAATACCCTTCATTTCATAAGAAACTCTGTCTACAAACTTTTGGCCATACTTTATGCTGTCTGTCCTCAAGCCAGGAAGCCCATCAGCGCTTATCTCATTGCAGTAATGGCTTGTGTCAATTTGCATGGCCATCGCATTGTCCATTTCAGTGGCATAAATAATGTGCTTACAACGTGGCATATTAGGTTAGATGGCTATTTGTCCAGAATATGCCACGTTGCTTTCAGCTTGCATAGTCAGGTATAATGTAATACATGTTGTAGCATGCCAAGGTCAAGCCTAAGATCACTTTGTCAGGATAACGTCTTTAATCCTATGAATAAATGGACAAAACTAGAGATACAAACACTATAAAGTCAGTGAAATCATCTGTGAATATTAGATCATAAAAATCTTTGTCATTTTTTTTTTCAAGATAAGTTTTTATCTTTTATCTTATCATTCATAATCGGTTGTGCAAGAATTGAGCAATAGGGCTACAAACTGACCGAATTGCTTCACTGTGGTAGCAGTCTGGCACGTAGATGAAGTCACATCAGAATCAAAATGTTATTTATATTTATTTATTATATTAAAAAAAGTGTTTTACAGTAAAGTCCATAAATATTTGGACATTGACAAAGTTATTGTTATTTTAGCTGTCTACCACAGCACGTTGGACTCGAATAATGAATATGAGCTCAGAGTGCAGACTTTCAGCTTTTCTTTGAGGGGATTTACATCCAATCAGGTGAACAGGTGTAGGAACTACCAACATTTTCTTAATTCTTAATAGGGTTTCTTTCTTGGTGATGCTCTGCCGGACCTTTACTACAGCAGTCTCCATTTCCTGCTTGTTATTGGGCTGTTTTTACCTTCAGCTTTGCCTTCAGTAAGGGCACTCTATTGGATTACTGTCAGGTGAGTGACTTGGTCACTGCAGAACATTCCACTTCTTGAGCTAATAAAAGTCTTGCTTTAAAAAAGGTTGCTATAAAAGGTTGCTTTCTCAGCATGCTTTGGGTCATCATCATCTATCTGCACTGTGAAGAGCTGTCCAGTGAATTCTGAATCATTTGGCTGAATCTGAGCAGATAGTACAGCTCTTTACACTTCAGAATTCATCCGCTGCTTTTGTCAGCAGTCACATCATCAGTAAATACAAGGGTAGCACCACCATTAGCAGCCATACATGCCCACAACACTACCGCCACCATTCTAGACAGAGGAGGTGGTATGCTTTGGATCATGAGCAGCTCCTTTCCTTCTCCATACTCTTCTTTTCCCATCATTCTGGTACAAGCTGATCTTTGTCTCATCTGTTCATAAGATGATGTTCTAGAACTTGTTTTTAGACATGAATCTGATCTTTTTATTTTTAGGTTTACCGGTGGTTTGCATCTTGTGGTAAACACTGTGGTGAAGTCTACTGTTGATTGTTGACTAAGGCAGGGATATGTTGACCTCCTGGAGGATGTTCTTGATCTGGCCAGATGTAAAGGGGTTTTTCTTCATCAGGGAAAACTTCTTTTGTCACTCACGACAGTTGTTTTCCATGGTCTTCTAGGCTTTTTGGTGTTTCTAAGCTCACCATTGTGTTATTTCTTTTTTAAAATGTTCCAAATAGTCAATGTACTGTTTTCTCTTTTACTAGCCACATGTACATGCAGCCTGATAATCCATTAACAATCCTAACAATCCTAATCCTAAAAGACTAATAGCTCAATCAGAATATAATACGTCCTTGTATACACCTCAATCAGAATAGACTAGTCTGATTGAGGCCATTCGGAATACAATTTCTATCCGATTGAACGAGGTGTCTAATCCTGTAAATAATCTGTTAAATAGAAGAATAACAGCCGTGTAAACACCTGTATCTGATTACATTCCCAATCAGAAACTTTAAGTATGTTCTGCACATGTGCGTCGCATCATAGTGAAAGTTTATAACGTTCAACATGGTGTCCAGGCCTTCTTTAATAAGTACATTTGAAGTATGTTTTCCTGAGTCTGACATAATTTTATGGACTCACGAGATGGTCACTGTCATGGTAACATCTACAATAAGCCGTTCTCTATGCATGCGTGCAATTTTGGATCGGATTACGTGTAGTACTCTCAAATTAAACAAGAAAGTATACATTTTGATTAAATTTACTCCAACTCCAAAATATTGTGGTATCATAGACAACTATGATAATAATAACTTTGGTAATGTCCAAATATTTATGGACCTGATTGTATGTAAAGTTAATTGAGTATTTAGTGGAATGTCAATCCTTTCAACTATGCCTCACATTAAACACAGGCCTGAAAAACTAAATTACCCCTGTCATTTCATATTGTGACACAGGTACAAAGAATATTTGTGCCTCACCTGATTGATGACCTCAGCCCTGCATATCTCACTGCGTTTGCTTTTGGGGAAGGCGTTTGGAAACTGCTGTAGCAATAACTTCACTGATAAAGCTGTTCCCCAAACAATGTACCAATCAGCCAGCGTGGCAGGGCACACTACATGACACCACAATGTCGGATGTTACTTTCTGAGTCTATTTTAGTTAACAACAAGGCTAAACCATTTTTTTATATAGTGCTATTCGAGAAACCCAATGATGCATTGCATCTAAATGACCAATAAAGCACACAATAACAGTGTTGAAACACTCAAAAGAGGAACTGCACTGATTTTTCCAAGGCATGACTAAATGGTTAAGATGTAAACAAGGTCATTCAGAGTGGTTTGGTGTGAAATGCTCTGTTCTAGAGAAACTTAGAGTCAGAGTTGTTCACAGTAGTGGTGACAGGAACCAGACATCCACCTCTAAAAGCTCTGTCACAGAAAGTTATTACATGAAATGGTTATAAATACACTCCCTGATGCCTGAGACATTGTTTTATGATAGTTTTGAAAAGATTTTGATCTAAAATGCATTTTTTAGAACTCATTCATGGTGGAGGGACACATTCAGGGTGTTGTGAGGCAAAATAGCACCTAAAGTAGGGGGCGATAATTCTAGATATTAAGATAATTATGGTGATACAACTTTTCCTCGATAGAGCGATAAGACATGTTCGATAAATGTTCGATATAATACACCATTCTCACACTTCCACGTTCTAGCGACAGCCCTGGTGGCGTTTTCTACTACAAGGAAAGCGACACTACTCTGCTGTCGTCAGGAGAGGGCGCACTTCCGAGTTTTCTACATGATTAGAGAGGGAGGGGGCCACGAGTAAGATGAGTTTTTAACGACGTCTGAAATGTGAAGTTATACGTTCCCTGTTTGAGTGGAGCAGCCGGTGATCTGTTTTCCTGTGACCGAGTGTGAGAGACGAGATCAGTGGAGTAACTGTACTGTCCTACAGCGAACTCGCCTCTTTCCTAACATCCTAACCAGCTTTAGCAGCGTTAAATCACAATCACAATCCTCACAACTACAGCGCTGTTACAGCGCTTGGACAGCCATATTTTAGTATTAGTGCATTCCCAAGCAACGAAAGTGAAAGAAAGAAGTGTGTTCATGTTAGTTACAGCCCTGATTTAAACGAGAGTAACCTGAGGAAGCTGTGAGGCATTGGAGAGCGGGAAAGCGCTATCTTTCCAGGCTAGCTGTTTTTAGCATCTGGCTAACTTGAAACGCTCCGTCACTCGCACAGCGCGGTGAATTGATGATACTGTAGATCAAATAAGAAACAAAAGCACCGCTTTCAGTTTAAACATACCTAAAAGCAGGACTCCGTTTGTTTGGTGTTAGATATAAGGCGGTTCACCCCTTAAACTACTACGATGTCGCTATCTGGTGTTTGAATACTGTGGTATGCTCTGACATCGATGTGGTAGGAGTGATGGTGTGAAGGCAGTGTGATCCATCTCTGACATACCGAGCCAGGTAATGTTTGCTGTTCGTACTGAGTCG